ACATTTATTTCTTTCTCTAGTGAAACTTAAGAAATACCATGCTTATCTGAATTTTTTTGGCTACCTAAACCAATACAGAGTCTCTTCACAGATCTAACTGTAGCTCTGTCTAAAATGTCAACACTTTTGTTTCATCTGCAAACATTACAGAGTAGTACTTAAGGTTATATTGATGTTGCACATTTGTACAACTCAACTGAAAATACAGCACGTTTATTTTGACATTATTTCACTACCAATAACAGAGAAGTGTATCTCCAGTAGCTAGCTTGGAAAAATCTGCACAAAATAAGCATGGAGAACATGTCTGAAAATTAAATTAAACTGAGAAATCATAAAACAGACAAATAAGATACTTTATAATCTCTGCTTGAGCCTGTACTACTCTTATTGCTGCAGACAGCTTTTGAAGGAGACCTTTAACATCACAGGCTGATTAGTGTAATGAAAGAAGATTGCTCTCACTGACGATAAATGCACCGAATTGGGAGAAAAGCAATGAGGTGACACAGGACTTGGAGGGGGGAGGTTGGTTGAAGAGACAGAAGTAGCAAGGAGAAAAGGGGACTAAGGATAAAAGTCACAGTGTATCACTGTTTTTTAGATTACTACATCATCTTCCCTTGGTCACCCAAATTCTCTCCTGTAAGAGTGCAGAGAGGAGTTCCTCCTTCATGAATTCTTGCCTCACCTTTATGCGTTAGAGATCCGGCTTCGTAAGACACTGGGGGTCAGAGATACATGGGAACTGATCCCTCTTCCCGATGCTGTTCACATCTAAATGATAGATACTTCTTTATACTGAAATCAATCTTTGCAGGTGAAACTACTTATTTCCTACATGGCTCGTCCTCAGTTGTCCTTTTGTTTTCTCTCGCTTTTTGGAAAAGTTTTTACTTCTATTATGAATAAAAAAAAGGGGGTTGCCTAAGTCACTGTCATGAACAACTAAACAGTAAAATGAATTTATATAGAAACAGCAAACCCAAACTGCTCTGACAATCTCCAGTCATCTGCCATCTACTTCAATCATAAGCCTCACATACAGCTAGCCGCAGTGCAATACAAGGATCTTCTTAGGCACAGTAACAGCTTTCTGTTACCCAGTTGAGTAAAACAAAAATTACAATCTATGGCAGTTAAATAGAAAAGGATAAGATGTTTGGCCTAGAAAAAGAGTTAATAGAAAAACATTCAAAAGATATCAAACTTAAAAAGCCTTTTTAAAAGCCTATCAAAAGCAGAAGTTCCACGCACCCAACAGACAATGGAATTTCAGCATGAGCAAACACAGAAGGTAATACTAAAGCAGCAAGACTGAATGTTTTTTTGTGTTCATACTGACTTCCAAGGAAGCTCATCACATCAGTTCCCATATCAGAAACCCTCTTCACAGGGATGTGAAACAAGTTCCCTGATATGAGGTACCAGGAGTAGAGGTCAGCAAACGACACAAAACAAACAGCAGAGACTTGGCAGGACATACAGCATCCAGGAGTTTTAAGGAAACGAAAAGCTGAAATGTCCAATCTATCAATAGTGCTGTGCAAGTTCGTCCTTAAAACTGCCTTAAGTTCGGAGACTTAAAGGTGGTTAATGGGACACCAACACTCTGGCCGGCAAGGTACGTACAGGGCAGCGAGAGTTTCTACTGGCCGGGTTGCTAAAGCCTTGTACAGAACAGAGGTGGTGAGCCCAAAGACAAGGCCGTGCTGGGGGAGAAGCAGTCATAGCTTTCGTAGAGAAGAGTCCCACCTCACAAACCTACTATTAATTTTTTTTTTTAAGGAGTCAAAAATCAAGCAGATAATGGAAAGCCAATTGATGCAGTCTGTTGTGTTGAGTCTGTGTGGTGAGGTTTTGGTAGCCAGGAAGAGGCCACAAGGATGGCCCCTATGAGAAGCTGCTAGAAGTTTCTCTGGCTCCAAGTCAGACCTGACTCCAGTCAAGGCCAAGCCAGACAGCGCCGCTGTGATTAACATAGTTAAAAGGAAAACCAAAGAGATCTGCAGAAGGAGAGAGGGGTGGGAGGTGAGAGAGACAGCCAGGCAGACACCCAGGCCAGTGAGGAAAGGTGGGAACTAGATGATCTTTAGGGTCCCTTCCAACCCAAACCATTCTGTGATACACTCAAGTACAGAACTCCTTACTACAAGAGTCTGTAGGTACTAAAAGTTCAGATGGCTCCAAAATATATTTGAACAAAATACATCAAGCTCCTCCAGGAGGTACTCAGCCTAAAAGCATTATTCTGGGCTTGGAAGGTGCTGGCTTGTAGATAGCCAGATATTAGGAACACTTCTGCAAAATTCTCTTATGTGCTTATGCTTTTTTTCAGACACCTGCTTTCAGCCACTGCTGGAGAAAGCCTGACAGAGCAGATGGTCCTTCAGATTGATCCAACTATCATGCCAACTTCTTTCACCAGCTACAGTTCATGTTGATGTTCCTGACTGACAAGGCAGCTCTAAAAGCACTTAAGTTACCAAGTAGAGAAAATCTACTGCAACCTTGGGCCAGCAATATTAACCTTGGGCCAAGAGGCCAAGCCAACATCAAGGACTGTTGTCAAACCATACACAGCACCAATTACTACTATCAGAGATATTTCCAAGGAAAAAAACCCCTGCAATATTAGCTAAACACAGCTTCTACAAGCATAACTATTGAATGCTACATTACATACTACTGTACACATACCTTGACACCCAGCCAGGTCCACCTAAGTCACATTTTCTGATTAGGACCAAAGACAAAACATCAACATGAAGATTAAGGCCTGAATCTTAAAAACACTTGGTCCAAAACAACTTTTCACCTACCTTCTCCATTTTATCTTCTATTCATGGTGGCTTAGTTCCTGAGCTGACCTTTCTAAAAGCAATGTGAGTTACAGAAGATAAGACTATAAAGACTAAATATACCACTTAATCTGTTTTGAATAAATTCACCAGCACGTAAGAAGCCTGTGTTTACACTGTTCTTAAAAACTTCCCATGACAGAGGTTCTAAGTTCTCTCTGAACATCCCAAATGACTGACAGTAAACAGCTGAAATAAAATCTCCCCTAATTTTCATATTGTCTACTGGATTTCACCTCTCTTTCAAAAGGGATAAATCAGACTCTAAAATATAAGTGTCATGGCAGGAAATTATTGTCCAAGGTATGGATGAAATTTAAAGCATCATTTATTGCTTTCATGCTTAGATTGCAGGATATTGGTTTTGCTTGGTAACCAAAATCTAGGGGGTAGAGGGTGTGTTCAGACCTTTAACTAGTGATTTAACACATTTACATGCTTTTAGAAAAAGTAGTTACAAAAGAAGTCAAGAATACCTCCCATTATATTCACTCTTGAAATCTAAGCCACACTCAAGTCAATTATATTCACTTTCTAATGTGGCAATTCAAGGCAGAAATACTGAACTAACCTGCAGGGAAAGAGAATAATACTATAATATTTCAAGTGAATCCCTACAACATAGTATCTGTCATACTTTCTTCCTTAACAGGAGCAGTCAATGTTAATGTGACTTAATGAAGAATCCTGAAAACATTATCATATTTCTGAACTGAAATTACTTGATTACACTCTCCTTGAAGCTATTATTTACATCTTCATAAAGGACTATCATTACAGTTTTTTAATGGCTCAAAAGCGATCAAATAACAGTGAAAAGCATAACCTGAGAGCAAAAAATATTTCATCTAGCCATGTAAATTTGACAAGTGCATATAACATGCACAATCAGCACATAAAAAATAAGCACACAAAGCAAAACTGAAAGAACAAATTCTTCATGCTCAGAACAGGGGAATAAAGGAGCACATACAATTTTAATAAAACTGCAATTAACTTTGGGCTCACTTTTAGAAGTAAAATTAATGAAATCCCCAACTTGCACCACTCCACCCCCAGTTACCATCACACATCCACAACTCTAGATTTTGATGAACAGTCTCTAAGTATCTTGTTTCAGGTTTTACTAATGCCTAAAGTGTTATCGTTTTTTGTAACAAAGCAATAGAATCCATAAAAATACCTGGGTAGGCATTTCAAGCCTTCAGCAAATTTGAACATAAGAATTTTGTTAATTTCTTGGACAACAGGAATATGTAACCAACTTTGCTAACTGTTAAACAGCTCTTTGACCTCTATCAAGCACTAATCAGGCGAGAAAGTTTCTGTACATATTATCTCAAAATATTGCTGGTTTTCCAGCACTGCAACTGAAGTAGACTAAACAATTTAATAATACTTGTTTCCAGAAGATGTGATTGGACTCAGCAATCCAAACTGTCACAAAAGCATCTTCTAAAAATTTTACGCCACTTATTTACGCTGCCTCTTTTTTACAAAGCCATATATCAGGTAGGTATGAGGATAAGGCATTCAGAACAGGCAGCTTCATGACAAAATTGTCTGAGTGTGAAAAAAGAAACTCTAAATATGTAGTTTAAACTTTTAGTCAGAGAAACAAAACCTACTTGCCCTTCTTAGCAGTTATCGTAATACAACATGCTGCTGCAGCAAATATATTAGTATTGTTAAACAGCAGCATCTATGTACAATACAAACAGCAAATCTAGTTTAAGTCCAAGATCCTTCACAAGCGCACAAAAATTAAAGTATTAAATAAAACGTGTTCCCAGAGTTACTACGAACAAAAATTGTTTCCCAGAAACTATCCTATTAACTACATAAAGAAAATTTAACATTTCACACTTATCAGCTACCCACAAATCAAATCTTTAAAATTAAAGATTATCAAAAGCCCTCCTAGAAGTATTAAATAAAATGTGTTCCCAGAGTTACTATGAACAAAAATTGTTTCCCAGAAACTATCCTATTAACTACATAAAGAAAATTTAACATTTCACACTTATCAGCTACCCACAAATCAAATCTTTAGTCTTATCTGCATACAGCCAGCTGGTTTTTAAAATTCTGCTGTAATGGAGGGGAAAAACAATTAAGCAATATTATTAGTCATCTTACCATTGTTCCCTGGTGGTTGTAATGCATCTCCTGTCAGGCTACACCATCCGACTGGGAAAATATCTCGAGAATCACATCTGCACCAGTAGTCAAATGCTCCTCTCCAGCCATCAAATGTAACAAAAACTTCATCTCCTTTAACATCTCCAATGGTTGCTGGGCAAATCAAGTATGGGTTCTTCCTATCTATCGCTTCAAGCTTCATTCCAACTTTAAAGCAGTTTGGCACAGGTTTTGGTGGTTCCTATAAAAGTAAGAGTGGGAGAATATTTGTATTTCTATGGCCTCTTTAATAAAAAACACCCTACCTCTATTTTTGTTCAACATCCTTAATTCTTATACTCACTACTCTCAAAAAAGTTAGAGTAGACATTCATGGAAACTTATTCATATTTGATTTGCTTTTGATCTTCGGTGCCACAAAAATCCAGATCTGTTCCCACAAACACAGTTAGGGTAATTAGCAAAATTCTCCATGGCAGAAAGGCCCTGCTATAAGTATTTACATAAGCAATAGGTTGCACCCAATACATTATGTCTGGGCAAGACAGCAAAGACAATAAAATGAAATTATGACATGTTAATAAAGAAGAGGAGGTTTGCAAGGAATGGATATTTCTGGGGACTGATAACTGCCTGGTAAAAGCTTCAGCTCCCAATTAATCCATGAAAAACTCATTAGCACTGGACATTATTTATAGGCCTCTTGGAATTGGTCTAAGGCCAACTGAGCTAAGTGGACAAAAGAAAAACAAAAGCCAACTCAGTGTGACCAGTGTAAGTGTACCCCCACAGCAGGAGTTGTGACCGGATGTAACCTGAATTACCACCCCAGTCTCAGGAACCCCACTATCCAAAAGCCATCCCAGATGTGCTGGTAAGCTAGAACAGGGACGTGTGGCTTATCACACCACAAAAAAATTTATATCGTTCTGTATTGAAATTTTATGTAATTGTATGAAGTTAACACGCAAGCGATGTGATTGCAAGTCTGAACCCAACTGTTTAATTTGCTGACAAACTTGCCAACACCATTCTCAGTATCGGAAATTAAGTCACCCGGTGTGACAGCAGGGTCTTACTACCTTGACAAAAAATTGAACCAACGAGTCATTTTAATATTACTGTTGTTTTCATAAAATTTTTCCATGTTTCACAGTAACTTACTCAAGAGTCATGTTTAAAAAACTGAACCATTTTTTCTGCTGTTTTCAACTACTTTCTCACTACATTTTGAAGGGTGAGTATGTACCCAAGGAAAACGTTTAACAAAACCTTTCCAACACTACTGTATTCCAATGGCTCTTATACCCCACTACATTTCCTTTTTACTCCTCTGCATAACTATGTGTCTATGGTGCCATTCAGAAATGTGATATGCATTGTATCTTAAATCCAGGAGACAAAAAATAAGCTAACACAATTTTTCTAAACAATTCGCCATATTTTAAAGTCCCAAGTCAGGAAGAGATGCCCATCTCAATGGAAGAGAAGGTCACTTTCTAGCTTTGTAGCTCACCACTCCAGTTCAAAGTCATGTTAAATAATAGTTTTGCTTTCCCATGCTGCAGACAACAGGGTAATACCTTGGCATCTTCATTTAAAAAAATGTAACCATGGACCAATTGTTAGGAAGTTGTTTACTAGCAGTCCCTTTCTTCTTACCTTCTTAAAGAATGCTGCAGGTGCCATTTCAGCTCCATTGAGAGTTCTTAAGAGAAACATTGGCCAAGAAGACGCATTCATCTGGAACCCTGAGTAACAAATACATTATTTGTATATAACAGCCCTGCTTTCAGTCTGTAAAATATAACAGGAGGAGAAGGATCTAACATCTGTTTTATTAATGCCTCTTGCCATCTATTTTTGACTTGGCCACAGTAAAAGTATCCAAGAAGGACCAAACAGGGTCGCTGTTGATGCAGAAAGGTGTGCAATAATTTCTCCATTCTGAGTGACCTGCCTCTAGAGTCACTCATCATAATTTGTGATTTTACAGATAAACACAGAAGACTTAATGACATTCAAGTTCTAGTACAGGAGGTCGTCAGGTTGTCCCACACAGTCCCTTGTCCAGTGGAATTTCCCCAGCACAAGCACCTAGCTTACTACTCAGGTCCATTTTTTGCTCTTATTCTAAAATATCCTACATTCCAGCTTCTCTCATTTATTGAAGAGACACAGGAGTCTCTAGAATGAAAACGTAATTCTTTCACCAGGCCACAGACAAAAAAACGAGAACAACCAGTATCTTCTCTCTCCCCCATTAAAATAAGAAAAAAGCTTTAAAAGGCAAAAAAAACATGTAACATGGGAAAACAAAACCACAATTATTTTAATAAATGCATGTATCAATTTGGAAAACATAAACTGGAAGATGCTTCTACTTTAATGTTCTTCATCAACAAGCAAAAACAAAAAGCAGAAACAATAATCAAATTTGTTTAGATGAACTACCTTATTCAAGCAGAACAAATGTGTGCTGAAAACATTCTCATTCCAGATAATCTTCCCTCAGAATCAACTAATTCCCAGTTAAAACAAAACAAAAATCCTATTTGATTTCTGTGCTTTCCAAATGGATGTTTCAAAGTAATAAGTAAGACACCAGATATAATGGACGTTTTTTCTGCATCTTTAGCAGCTTTACGTCTGGCTCAGTTCTACAGAAAGACAGACATACTACAGCAAATTGGAAATCTTCCCCAAAAGCCAATAGTACCAGAGTCTGCCAGGAACTGATGAGCTCCCCCATAACCAAGTCTTGACGATTCTCTAAAAAAATGTAACTAGAAAGGTGGAACATATATGCAATTCTCCATCAGTTAAATCACTAAGTCATCTAAAATTGGATTAGATGGTATAATGGTTCTTTAATTTGTAGCTTTATCTTCAGTTGAATAAACAGTTTTCAAGTTGGAACTACCCATGCAAAACCAAATGAAAACAAAGCTCACGTCTGACAAACAGTGCCATAATTTGAGGATTGCTGAATTGATTATCAGTCCTGGTTTGATACCAGAGTCTTTGCATAGTTTAAACGTGTGTGGTTATGGAAGCACAATATTTCTAACCAGCTAGCCCAGAATAGACATACATGTGAAGAATGACAACTGAACAACAGCTTCAATTACCTTCATTTGGCCTTTAAGTTGTCCTGGTAAAAATAGAGAAAATTATATCCTCCATGTAATTTGTTGAGAACACTAAGCTCTCAACAACAAAAAAATCTCACCTATGAAAAACAGAGGCTGGAACAGGAACCCTTTGCTACATTAATCACTTTCTCAAAACCCTCACGTAACATGCATAATTAAACCTATGTAAAAATGAGGTAGGAGGGACTATTTTAGCTTGTTATTAGGAGAGAAGCAGAACATTAGTATCCAGAAGGTTCCCTACTACTCAGGAAAAAAAAATAATCAGTTGCTTAAATGTCTAACAGGAGGTAATTATACACCCAATTAGCTCCCAGCTTTGCCCAGGAACAGGATGCTGTAAAACTGCCAAAAAGACTTTTTCAAAAAATTATCTAGGTATGCCAGAATGTTTGATTTCTGGAATTTAGCCTATCTCTAGCAAAATCTAGGGCGGGGGGGACAAAATAATGGCACTCGCAGGTTTTTTTCTGACTAACCAGCAATTGTTCAAAGGGCAGCTAAACTTACATGCCTGGGTGCAGCTGCTTGTTAGGTGCTACGCTACACGCAGCCTGAGCCAACAGGAGTAAGAAACATTACCTGAAGAGAAGGCATCAACCCTTCCACTGATCACTGTGGGAAGTTTCTCTCCTTAACGGATCAACTGTCCTCCTTATACGTTACCAGAGTGGTTTATTCATCAGGCTGATTGAGACACACGTTTTAAAAAGCACTACACTGCTGAGCTGAAGCCACGCATTTAACACTGTATCTATGCGTAGCTGAGGAACAGGCATACTCTTCTCTATTAGAACTCTCTTTCATACTGGTTATCACTGCATTAATTCTACAAGGACATACCAAGAACTTCAGAGAGGTTAAACAGAGTAACTTTTACCTCAGGCATCAAGAATTACCAGTGCTTTTATTCAAAACCTCTGTACATCCACAGAAAAGAAAGAAAAGAGCCCTCCTGGGCGCAGACTGTATGTATGCATCTATCTATCTATCTATCCCAAATAATATTCTTCCAGACTGGAACCCTGATGACATTGCTTTTCTTGTGTTTCTAAAGCAGCACAACAGCCCCAAACTCTGCCCTTATACTCTATGTGAAGTGTCTTAATGGTTATGTCAACTGCTGCTTATCTCTTTAACCCTCTACAACCAAATCAAGTTTCATACTGCAGTGAAATGACACTTTCACCTTTCAAACAAAAGATCTGAAAGTTATTAGCAAGCTAGGCCGACAAATATTTTGAGATGCTGCTAGCAGAAGGTATACCTATCTTCACTGCACCTCTGTCTTCTCATCTGTGTTACTGATGACATCAAACCGATGGCACCAAACCAGAAGTAGGTTTACAACTGTAAGATGGGAAACCAGCAGTAACAATTTCTGCTTGCAGTTCGTCTTACATTAAGAACATGAAAAAATGCAAGAAATAAAAATTAGAGAAGATAACAGGATAACAGGAGAGCGGTGTTGCTGTTGTGGCTCATTAGGGTTTTTTTGGTTGGGTTGGTTTCTGTGGTGGGTATTTTTGTTTGTTTTGGTTTGG